CCTGGTATAACCTTACATCTGTGTATTTGTTGTCAGTCACTTGAAGCTTGAATTTATTGCAGGTTTAATTAGTGGTAGAACCACTCAGATTACCTGAACAAAGGTGGCATTTCTTGTGTTTTGGGTAATTATTTAATCTGAATCCAGGTTTGAAGTGGGGTGAAATGTATGTTATGTAATATGCACGTGGCAGGTAAGTGTTTACATGTGTAGGTTTACTAATGCAGACGGAATACACCCATATCTGGGCGTGAAGTGCCGATGTGAAAACAACATACTTTGTTCAAAGGATTAGCCGATAATACGTTGATTGATTGTTCAATGTTATCTAACTCTATGGTTTTTTTAAAGAACCGTGGACATTAGGAAAATAGTTGTCACGCGGGCTTTCTCAGCTGACCTTTGAAGCGAACACGGGTTATAAATCCCGAAACGCTATATTTTTAAGATATGTGATTGTTACAGAGACACGTGACATCGAATGTTTATTTGTACAGCTGCAGACGTATGATATTTTGTTCCTGTATGTGGATATTCACGGATACATTCCTCGAACAAGGTAGCTGCCTAAATTTATACATATAACTTTGGTAAGTTGTAATCTTGATATTTGCATTTTGTTTTCATTCATTTGCTGTTGCATTGAATAGAATCATTCTTGTTCGTGTACGTTTTCGTTGGGAAGTTCTTCGGTGATCGACAGACGTTGTTTTCACCAGACTTTTCGTTTGTAGGCGTGTATATGTTACAGTTAATGTGTAAAATGTGATTCATTCACGCAATTTAAAAAAATGTCTTAATATTTCAGTAATTTATAAACTGACTGAAACATATGTCCATTTATTTATCAGATTGATTTACAATTATTATGAGGTTCAAAGGGGCATAAAACATCACAATAGACTGATTGTGCTAGGATTAGAAGCCAAACCTATAGAAATGTACTTTGAATTTCGTTTCTTTTAATCCTATCATTTTCAGTCACTGGGTGATGAAATTAAAGCATAAACATGTTTGGAATTCGTTATCATAATAACATAAATGAACGATTTTTCAGTCAATTTGTAACATAACTGAATATTAAGTCGTTTAATAAACTGCCTAAGTGAAAATGTTACACATTTGACTATAAAATATATACACACGATTAAATTAGCAATGCTCAGGTGAAATCTTTACTTTGTGTTGCAAGTCAAAACAGTGTAAACGGAAATCGCACAATACCAAGCAAGTGACTTATCAAAACTTCGTCACCATAACCGATGCAAAGATACATAGATTTCCTTATTATTTTGAAGACTAAACGGTGTTTCAGTTTGTTTATCAAAGGGACCATACGCCCCAACACTATCAATAAAAGCGACAAATGCGCTTACGAATGGCGCAGCACAGGTCCCGAACTCGCACAGATTTCTGCTATATCATCCGGGTACTCAGGGGGAAAAAAACAATAACAAAGGCAACAACCAGGCTGGGGGAATTGCTGTAGATCAGTGCCCCCGAGAATGACTTTCAGTCTTCAAACACCTGAAGACTAGCAGCAAGAAGAAGAATGTGTATTCATAGCTTTCGGCCATGGGAGCCGTGCCAATTTACACTTGTCAGAGGGGTACTCAAAGTACGTGATCTAGACTACCAGTTGTTGGACTTTCATTTTTGTGGAAGCCTCGGTGGCTGGGTGGGTTAGATCGCTGACTTTGTGTGCTGACGATTAGATGCCTCACTCTGGCAAGTGTGGGTTCGAATCCCGGACGGGACTCACCCCCAAAATGTACGAGAATCTGTACTTTACTAAGAAAGTGTTATCCCAAATATAACATTTGTTAAAGAAGAATGTTCGCCAGCGAATAGACCTCGTGATTTCAAAGGTATACATTATAACAAGTTACTGTATGAAACGCGTTAGCCAGAACAACAGAAAATACGCCCCAGTGTTATGTTTATAAATAATTAGCTTTTAAAAAATATATTACCAGATCTAGCCAAGAAAACATTATATGTTCAAACGTTCACTCCAGTCGCTTATCTCATACCGCAGTTATCCAAATAACAACATTTTTGTCATCTATTCACAATCTAACTACCACAAAGTCCACTAAACAATGGTATATCACGATTTAACGCACTATTTAATTAAATTATGATTAAATAACTTTATTATAAATACACTTATGAAATATAGAAGACTGAGTTACGTACGTTACCTGTATTTCGATATAATGATTATTCGAAGGCTTTACTGATATGTTACTAATGTTTAACACAATAAAAACTTGAGTTAGATCACTGTCAAATCAATTATGGTTGCTAATGTATGTATTCAGTGGATAAAGCCGTTTTATCACATACATCCAACCTTCGACCCGTGAAGATCCGGGGTAGAATAAGTCTTCAGCAACCCATGCTTGCCGTAAAAGGCGACTATGCTTGTCGTAAAAGGCGACTAACGGGATCGGGTGGTCAGGCTCCCTGACTTGGTTGATACATGTCATCGATCCCAATTGCGTGGATCGATGCTCATGATATTAATCACTGGATTGTCTGGTCCAGACTCGATTATTTACAGACCGCCGTCATATAGCTGGAATATTGCTGAGTGCGGCGTTTAACAACAACATTTAACCTTCATGGTGCCTGGCCGTCACCTGGCTTTACATACCTCTCAGGGTGACCATGCACGCTGGTGACGTCGCAGTTTCAAACACGTATACATTGTATCGACAGTGTTACAACGTTGTTATTTCTACATACAGTGTGACAAAATTGTGTAACATTCAACGACTGTTGATTGTCTCTCCAACAATAGCTAACGCTGCCAAGCCATCGACGATATGCCGGCATTCTAAGTTTGCTATTTTGTTTAAATTGACTAATATTGAAGCACTCGAATTGCAGCGAGTAAAGTCTAGCAAACGCCCTTGTTTGAAATCTACATCACCATAAATTCATATCATTGGAAAGTACATATCCTTACCATGATATAATATGAGAATTGTCCGCGAGTTTAATTTACCCCCAAGAAATCCTTTTGAAATTGTCAGTGTTTTTGACGTCAAAACAAAATTGACGAAAGTGGTCGTGATTAGTTCATGCGCTGACTGTTTCAAAGATTATGTTACAAATACGATCGACAGTTTGGATTATATATCTTGAAGAAATCCCGGGTTTACACGCTTTTAACAGTATTCCAGTTATATCACGGCGTGTCAGCTTAATGTGGGAGGAAAGCCCCAAGTGATGCAGGTCTCAGACGTTTACCACTTCGGTGAAAACCACGAGCACGGGTATGGTGCTGACAAACCTAGAAACATAATCGGGGCGAACCGGGATTCGAACCCACAATCTTAGGTTTCTGGCGTGCCCAAGGGACGCAACTCTGCACAGCGAATCACGGCGCCTCAGACGACTGGGCCACCCGTGCCCCCTGATGCTCTTTGAAATCTTGGAAGACAGAGTTGCTCAGTTGCTTGACATTGAGAATTTGTGATTGGAAAGTTGGACTTATTAAATAATGTCTATGGTGAGGTCGGGATTTTGTGTAACCTCTGATGAAGGTCAAGGTTTTGGGAAGTTGCATTTTTAAACATGATGGAGGCATGTTTGGTTGATGTCCTGAGAACTATTTTTAAAGAGAAAATGTCAGTCACTTAAAGAAAATTTGTCAAAATGTCATGGTTGTATCAAATATGAAGGTTTGTTTGTTTGTCGCCCTCAGCAATATTCCAGCTGTATGATGGCGGTCTGTAAATAATCAAGTCTGGACCAGACAATCCAGTTACATGCCATGCATCAACCAAGTCAGCGATGCTAGCATCAACCAAGTTAGTCATCTCTTACGACAAGCATAGTCGCCTTTTACGGCAAGTATGGGTTGCCGAAGACCTATTCTACCCGAGATGTTCAAATATGAGGGTCATCTTAGAGTCATGACTTGTAAACAGTTTAATTTAGTATTGGCAGTATGATATGGAGACTTCATATTTACAACACCATGCAACGTCTGAGACCTGTATCACTTCGGACTTTCCTCCCACATTAAGCTGACACGCCGTGATATAACTGGAATACTGTTAAAAGCGGCGTTAAACCCAACTCACTCACTCACTCACTCACTCACTTAATTGAACATGGCCATAATGCAAATATCGGATCCATCTATATGGATACTCTCTTTTCTTTCTGATTGTTTTGTGTAGTTATGTATTATGGTTTTTCTGATAGACGCGGGGACCGCCTCCGTGGTCTAGTGGTAGAGCGTCCGCCCGGAGAGCGGAAGGTCCGGGGTTCTATCTCCGACCGCGTCATACCAAAAGACATTATAAGATGGTACTTGTTGTTACCCTGTCTGGCGCTCGGCAATAAGGGGCTAAAACAAGGACTGGTCGGCTCGGAGTCAGTATACTGTGTCTGAGTGGGGTATTCATGTTAAACTGCGGCATGGTATCTCAGTGAGCTAGCACTATAAATCGGCATCAGTCTGGACTAGTACAAGCAGCCACACAAACACATACACGTACATGCACGTCGCTATATAAGTGCAATAATCTTGGACGCGACGTTAAACCCCATTTCACCTCACCTCACCTCTGATACACGCATTTACACCGCAAAAGAAGATACAGTAACATATATGATCCGAGTGAGATCAACATTATATTCAAATTAGCAATCAGCAACTTATCATTGTCGAGGTTTGTTAATTCACTCATATTCACTATCAGTGGGACTCGTGATGATCCGAGTTAGAATAGGTCTTCAGCATCCCATACTTGCCGTAACAGGCGACTTTGCCGGACGTTAGAGGCGACAAACGGGATCATGCTCTCTGACTTGGTTGATGCATGTCATCGTATCCCATTTGTTTAGATCGATGCTCATTATATCAATCATTTGATTGCCTGGTCCAAAATTGATTATTTACAGGCCGCCGTCATACAGCTGGAATGGAATGTTGATAAGTGTGGCATAAAACGACGAACTACAGTTATTGTTTTTCACAGGGAACAAAACGAGCGAACACCGGTACGCCCCCAAAAGTGAAGTTGTAACGTATTGCCACATTGCCTGTGGTGTTATCACATACATTGATCTCAGGTAAGTGGCAATTATATATATACACACGTGACATCATGTCACCGCTGATGTTCCACACCCGACAAAACTTTTGATTTTGCGACCATAAAATAGGTGTCTATGATGTGAGGGCGTCGCATTGACCTTATTGGCGCGATCGAAACTTTTTAACAGTCGGTCAAGGTATCGTGAAATGTATACATGCGGCATATATAACACAGACATTTACCCCTTGCTCCACCGACACGAGCATGCGTGTTCCTGAATGCGTACGTTCTATGTATAAATCTTTCTCAAGTGCATATTGGCCCGTGGGACAGTGACCCAGTTAGAAATCTAATACGTGGTGATGTTGGGACTGTGCGGCCTTCCGTCAGCTGCTACCATGACCCCCCGCCCCCCACTCCTCCACACAGCTCTTGTATGCCACGGCGGAATAACCTCCTGTTGACCTGACCTTGTTGCGTGTCGAGTACCTAAACGTGTATCAATAGTATATTTACCCTTCAGACTTCAGACATTGTGACACGCGTCTTATCTAATATTTAACTCTTGTTTGGGAACAGCGTTAACTGATTCGAATATTTGCGGGTATATATTGAATAGTTAGTCTGTATTGCTATTTTCATTTAATTTTAAATATATCTTGTTTTTTTGTTTTTTAACATTTTTGAAATTATAATAATCATATGCAAATATCATAAATCATATCTGTCAACGTACACTCATTAGACGTTAAGTGGTTAATATCTTCTACTTTGGTTTACTGTAAGTAATCAACTGTGTGACTGTTAAACGTTTAGTAAGCGATAAAATAACACCATTACGTATGTCAGCCTGTATGCGTTTGTCAACTTATTTAATAGCAAAAATAAGGATTTCTTGTCATTTATAGATATATGTTATCAAGCATGAGCTTTATATAAAAAAATATTTAATTGTACCCAGAAAACAGCATTGTCTATCACAGATATATTTAAAATTACTGGGGATCAACTGTAAATTTATATACGGTCTACATCGTTGTGTCGAAGTCCGATGTTACGAAATGTCGGGAATTACAAACTTATTGTCCGGTGCAGGAGATTTCCTTCAATTGGTGTCATTATTTGATCTGTTTGCTGTTTAACGCCGCACTCAGCAATATTCCAGCTATATGACGGCGGTCTGTAAATAATTGAGTCTGGACCAGACAATCCAGTGATTGACATTATGAGCATCGATCCATGCAATTGGGATCGATGACATAAGTCAACCAAGTCAACGAGCCTGATCACCCGATCCCGTTAGTCGCCTTTAACGACAAGCATAGTCGCCTGTTACGGCAAGTATGGGTTGCTGAAGACCTATTCTGCCCCGGATCTTCACGGGTCTTAGTTGATCTGTGTTACGTCGAATCGATAGTGTGGAATTTGGGGACTCGAACTTATTTTGTAATACCAAGTGACAAATACAAATACAAAAATGCCCTGATTTGTCGGAACTGAATATATTGGAATAGTTTTATCATTTTATTAATAGTTAACTTAGAATTTTAACCTGAGCCATTTCTACTGTACTGTACAATATCCTACATTTGGAGTTGTGAATGGCTATTTTCGAATTGGCCCTAATCGACCATGGCAATAAAGTGGATCGAGTCGTCAGGATTGTTGATGGCGTGTCACAGAATCCCGACAGCCTGGGTCTTTGTTTTCAATATAAATCACAGGTTTGTCTGGTCCAGACTCGTATGTACAGGCCGCCGTCATATCGCCGGCATAAAGCTGAGTACGGCGTTAAACAACACAAACAAGCGGATGTATCGAACACTCGGTTAAGTCGAATTCATGCTCAGGTCTTTCGAATTCGACACAACAATGCTCAACTTCTCTGTGACTTGGCCAATTGGACTTTCATCATTAGTTCTCGCTGCCGCAAAAGCTCTGGGGACGTGAGGACATCCCATTACGGTTGGTTGGTTTGTTGTTTAAGGCCGCACTCAGCAATATTCCAGCTATATGACGGCGGTCTGTAAATAATCGCGTCTGGGCCAGGCAATCCAGTGATTAATATCATGAGCATCGATCCACGCAATTGGGATCGATGACATGAATCAACCAAGTCAGCGAGCCTGACCACCCGATCCCGTTAGTCGCCTTTTACGACAAGCATAGTCACCTTTTACGGCAAGCATGGGTTGCTGAAGACCTATTCTATCCTGGAATCTTCACGGGTCATCCCATTACGGGTCACGTCAGAACGAACGACCAGTCAGAGCGTCGATTACCAGATCAGGAAATAGACAGTCGTGTTTTCTTTTCACCCATCCTCGAAATATTTAACCCAGGGTATTTAATTACGGGCTTTACGACTGAATCTGTCAAAATGATCGTTTATCTCTTGCTTCAGTTGGATAGACATTTAAAAGGAAGAGACCTGCATTACCCGCGGGCAGTACAACAACCATACAATCTAGGACATCTATTACACGTTCAAGAATGTTCTTTTGGTCAGTTGACAAATTTTGAATGGAGAATTTGTTAAAATGCTTTTCAAAGCGAAGTTGCCAGTTTGAATCTTACGCCGTATACCACGAGAAAGCCTCTTTATGTTAGTCATTTGATTGGTCGGTCAAATTTGCGAAAGGTCGTTGTGTCGTGTGATCTGTAATGGGGTGTCATCAGATCTTTGTTTTGCGGTAGCAAGAGCGAAGCACTGATTATAATGAGATTGCGAAAAATATATTTTAACATTGAAATATTAGCATCCTCATACCAGATAAATATGTAATGGCATCCACCGTACTGCACTCTTGGGGTAAGGGGTTCATTTGTAGGTCATAACTCATAAACTCTCAAACATTTCTTCATCAAACCTTATATGTTGAAGTGTTTCATGAGACGTCGCTTTACATCTGACAAACTACACTACCGTACATAAATCACCTCCTCTCTTTTGCCTTATATATGCTGTTGTGTTTCATGAGGCGTCGCTTTACGTCTGACAAACTACACTACCGTACATAAATCACCTTCTCTCTTTTGCCTTATATATGCTGTTGTGTTTCATAAGGCGTCGCTTGACGTCTGACAAACTACACTACCGTACATAAATCACCTTCTCTCTTTTGCCTTATATATGCTGTTGTGTTTCATAAGGCGTCGCTTGACGTCTGACAAACTACACTACCGTACATAAATCACCTCCTCTCTTTTGCCTTATATATGCTGTTGTGTTTCATAAGGCGTCGCTTGACGCCTGACAAACTACACTACCGTGCATTAATAACCTCCTCTCTTTTGCCTTATATATGCCGTTGTGTTTCATGAGGCGTCGCTTGACGCCTGACAAACTACACTACCGTGCATTAATAACCTTCTCTCTTTTGCCTTATATATGCTGTTGTGTTTCATGAGGCGTCGCTTGACGTCTGACAAACTACACTACCGTACATAAATCACCTCCTCTCTTTTGCCTTATATATGCTGTTGTGTTTCATGAGGCGTCGCTTTACGTCTGACAAACTACACTACCGTGCATTAATAACCTCCTCTCTTGTGACAGTTGAGGATGTCTGTAGTAAAAGTCCCGGATGCTGGCGGAGATGAGATCAAGCTCCTGGAAGTGGACGGCCATCTGTATCCTCCCTCCTCCGTTGACGTCATCAGGGGCATCCGCGACCTCCCCATCAGAGACGATGACGTCTTCGTCTGCGCGTATCCTAAATGCGGTGAGCAATGCGTGCGTGCGCGTGTGCGTGTCTAAAACCTGGGGGATTTCTGTCCTTGAATTTGACTTTATGGTTCATAATTTTATGATGTGACTGTCTCGATGAAGTGAGTGAGCGAGTGAGTATGGTTTTACGCCACTTTGAGCAATATTCCAGCAATATTACGGCGGGGGAAACGGGCTTCACACATTGTACCCATTGTCCACTATATAAGGGGCACGGATAGCCCAGTCGACTGTGCAGAGTTGCGTCCCTTGGGACGCCAGAAACCTATGATTGTGGGTTCGAATCCCGGTTCGCCCCGATTATGTTTCTAGGTTTGTCAGCACCATACCCTTGCTCGTCGGTTTCACCGAAGTGGTAAACGTCTGAGACCTGCATCACTTGGGGCTTTCCTCCCACATCAAGTTGACTCACCGCGATATAACTTGAATACTGTTAAGAGCGGCGTTAAACCCAACTCACTCACTCATTTACTCGTTACAACATATAATATTCAATAGTTATTCCCACATTTGTTTAGTAGCATATTATCTTGGTGGTAATATTTCAGGCACTCATTGGGTGTGGGAAATGGCCCGTCTTCTTCTGTCGAGCGACACGGAGGCTGTTATAGAGAAGGATGAATTGATGTTAGAGTTCATCGGAAATGACGTCATCGAAAAGTTCCCGTCCCCGCGAATTTTAAATACGCATTGCCTTGTTGAGCAGCTACCACGTGGTGTGTTTGAGAAGAAGTGCAAAATAATATACATTCTTCGAAATCCCAAGGACATGGCAGTGTCGTACTACCACCACCACAAGAAACTTCGAGTTTATGAATATAATGGGAAATGGGAAAATTATTTCCCTTTTCTTATGGATGGGAAAGGTGAGAGCTATTTGAGTGAGTGGATGAATTATGTTTTATGTCGCAATAAGCAAACGACGAGATACGATAAGGGCACTTTTTGGCCCACTGGAAATGGCAAAATTGAAAGTTAGGTACAAATATTGTGAACATTATCAGACATGCTCGTAGCCCTCTTTCATGAAATTTTAAGTTTTGATCTTTTGGCATGATCATCTACAACAGAGTGGCTAAACGGCCAATTGTACCCACAGAAAATGTAAATGTGAGCATACATGCATTATACCATGTTTGTTTGATGCTACTAAAAAAGCCGCACGCGACAGCATAACTATTTAAAAAATAGGGCGATAAAGCTCAAAATATGCATAAAAATGACACCGCTTAAACCTTGAAATTGAATATCAAAGCGATGCATAAACGTCGAAAATTGGACATCAGCATCGAAATAGTACCCGAAAAAAGAAGTTCGATCGTGGCGTGCGCCAACCGTGAGCCATATTTGAAAATGGCGTCTGAAAAACGTCGTTACTAAGGAATGAGCTCGGGCACATCCCTTACCAAACTAGCGGAAGGTGTCCGGCATACTGCATTCTGACCCAAGTCTTGTGATCCGATGAATATTTGCCATATCTTCCGTGATGTTTGGATCGTCTTTATGTTCAAAGGGGTATACGAATCTCCGCGATATTCTGTACTTTGCACTCTGGCGAAGCTTGTGAACGGCTATTTGTAAGCGTCCTGTCATTCGATTCGCATTAAAAACGAATGAGTTCGAGTTATTTATTATAGCAGAATGGAGATATGGGTCCAGGGGTATTTATAATAACAGAATGGAGCTATAATACACTGGATAATAGAGAATAAATCCCCGTTAACACAGTCTCTGCTATTCAGTTGACTTCGGGTCGTTCTTCACCTACCTCAAGGACTGGGCTGCTATTGGCACAACACATCCCGAGTTGCCGACCTTGACCTTGGTGTATGAAGATCTGAAAGAGGTAACATTTAGCTGCACCTTCTGTAGAATGTTCGAGCTGAAAGGGGTGAGAATGGGACGTTAGAGCCGAGAAGGGTGTTAGTATTTGCCGTTCGAGATGTAAAGGGGTGAAAATGGGACGCTAAAGCTGAGAATGGGCTGGGAATAGGACGCTAGAGCCGAGATGGCGTGGGAATAGGACGCTAGAGCCGAGATGGCGTGGGAATAGGACGCTAGAGCCGAGATGGCGTGGGAATAGGACGCTAGAGCCGAGAATGGGCTGGGAATGGACGCTAGAGTCGAGAATGAGGTGGGAATAGGACGCTAGGGCCGAGAATGGGCTGGGAATAGGACGCTAGAGCCGAGAATGGGCTGGGAATAGGACGCTAGTGCGGCGAAAGGGCTGGGAATAGGACGCTAGAGCCGAGAATGAGGTGGGAATAGGACGCTAGTGCGGCGAAAGGGCTGGGAATAGGACGCTAGAGCCGAGATGGCGTGGGAATAGGACGCTAGAGCCGAGATGGCGTGGGAATAGGACGCTAGAGCCGAGAATGAGGTGGGAATAGGACGCTAGTGCGGCGAAAGGGGTGGGAATAGGACGCTAGAGCCGAGAATGGGCTGGGAATAGGACGCTAGAGCCGAGAATGAGGTGGGAATAGGACGCTAGTGCGGCGAAAGGGGTGGGAATAGGACGCTAGTGCGGCGAAAGGGGTGGGATTAGGACGCTAGAGCCGAGAATGGGGTGGGAATAGGACGCTAGGGCCGAGAATGGGTGGGAATAGGACGCTAGAGCCGAGAATGGGGTGGGAATAGGACGCTAGAGTCGAGAATGGGGTCGGAATAGGACGCTAGAGCCGAGTATGGGGTGGGAATAGGACGCTAGAGCCGATAATGGGGTGGGAATAGGACGCTAGAGCCGAGAATGGGGTGGGAATAGGACGCTAGGGCCGATAATGGGGTGGGAATAGGACGCTAGAGCCGAGAATGGGGTGGGAATGGATTCTAAAGCCGAGAATGGGGTGGGAATGGATTCTAAAGCCGAGAATGGGGTGGGAATGGACGCTAGAGCCGAGAATGGGTGGGAATGGATTCTAAAGCCGAGAATGGGGTGGGAATGGATTCTAAAGCCGAGAATGGGGTGGGAATAGGACCCTAGAGCCGAGAATGGGTGGGAATGGATTCTAGAGCCGATAATGGGGTGGGAATAGGACGCTTGGGCCGAGAATGGGGTGGGAATAGGACCCTAGAGCCGAGAATGGGTGGGAATGGATTCTAGAGCCGATAATGGGGTGGGAATAGGACGCTTGGGCCGAGAATGGGGTGGGAATAGGACCCTAGAGCCGAGAATGGGTGGGAATGGATTCTAGAGCTGAGAATCGGGTGGGAATGGACGCTAGAGCCGATAATGGGTAGGGAATAGGACGCTTGGGCCGAGAATGGGGTGGGAATAGGACCCTAGAGCCGAGAATGGGTGGGAATGGATTCTAGAGCTGAGAATCGGGTGGGAATGGACGCTAGAGCCGATAATGGGTAGGGAATAGGACGCTTGGGCCGAGAATGGGGTGGGAATAGGACCCTAGAGCCGAGAATGGGTGGGAATGGATTCTAGAGCTGAGAATCGGGTGGGAATGGACGCTAGAGCCGAGAATGGGGTGGGAATAGAACGCTAGAGCCGTGAATGGACTGGGAATGGAACGCTAGAGTCGAGACTGGAGTGGGAATGGAACGCTAGAGCCGAAAATGGGGTGGGAATGGAACGCTAGAGCCGAGACTGGAGTGGGAATGGGATAAAATTGATAAAATATTCTGTAATAGAGACTGCGTCTGTGGGAGATCATCGACTATACCCAACACGTTAAGGGGGTGCGTATATATTGTTATTATGGATCTTATGTCAGCCAACATTTCATCTATTTCAGGATCCTCTTCCTGGTATTAGAAAGTTAGCTAAGTTTCTGAATTGTGAGAAATCAGAGGAGTACTACCTGAAAGTAAAAGAATTGACGAGTTTCAAGAAAATGAAGGCAGCGAAAGGCACCATCATACAAGCAACTGACGGTGCATCAGTTATGTACAGAAAAGGTTGGTACAGTGGCGCTAGGACATCTAAAAAATGTAATTATCGTTTTAGAGGCCCCCTTAAACGGGACTCCTTTGAGCGTTTTTGAATTCCACCACATCCGCATCAGCATTTGAATTTTCATTTGCCTACCAGTTAAATATTTTCGACATCAGAGATTACTATTGAATGGAAATTTTACAAGTGTCCCTTTGGGGATTCTGTGGTGAGGTAAGGTGAAATGGGGTTTAACGTCGCGTCCAAGATTATTGCACTTATATAGCGACGTGCATGTACGTGTGTGTGTTTGTGTGGCTGCTTGTACTAGTCCGGACTGATGCCGATTTATAGTGCTAGCTCACTGAGATACCATGCCGCAGTTTAACATGAATACCCCACTCAGACACAGTATACTGACTCCGAGCCGACCAGTCCTTGTTTTAGCCCCTTAATGCCGAGCGCCAGACAGGGTAACAACAAGTACCATCTTTTAACGTCTTTTGGTTTGACGCGGCCGGGGATCGAACCCCGGACCTTCCGCTCTCCGGGCGGACGCTCTACCACTAGACCACGGAGGCGGTCCCATTACATACCAGGGGCGGTGTGGGTAGCCTAGTGGTTAAAGCGAGGACCCAGGTTCGATTCCCCGCATAGGAACAATGGATGAAACCCATTTCTGGTGTGATATTGCGCTCGGCAATAAGGGGCTAAAACAAGGACTGGTCTGCTCGGAGTCAGTATACTGTGTCTGAGTGGGGTATTCATGTTAAACTGCGGCATGGTATCTCAGTGTGCTAGCACTATAAGTCGGCATCAGTCCGGACTAGTACAAGCAGCCACACACACACATACACGTGCATACACGTCGCCATATAAGTGCAATAATCTTGGACGCGACGTTAAACCCCATTTCACCTCACCTCACCTAATTCCCTTATCAATATGAAATTCAAATTTGCACAGTGAAACAGACGTCCAAATATTGTTGATTTTCATCATTGATAGAATTTTCCCAGTAACTATCTAAACAGAAGGAACGGTGGATGCGCATTCAAGCCGAATACTGACCCGTGCCCCTCTCGTGGCCATTTTTGCGACTGGGTTCCGCCAAAGCGTAAACGGGCATAGTTGAAAGAAGTGTCAACTCGTTGCGTAATCATTCACGTAATCGGAACTTACGGTATTTATACTGTATGACTGAACACATTTTACTGTTTCTAGGGTATATTTTTAAATACAAGACATACGTGAAATCAATAATTATTCCTGAGGGATTCTTTGACTGAGGTACTTGAAGTCATACGCGCATTCTGATTTGTTTGTCGTATTTTCGCACATAACATTCAACGATAGGGAGGCGAGTCTTCTTGCAGGTTACGGAAAGGGGCGAGTGGTGACGAATGGGAGGATGCGTTGCACAAAACAGGAATTATTGTTTGGGGTGGACAGACCTGTGCTTCAGGTAAACTGGCCCCAACAATTATGGGTCGGTAGGTAGGGTTCTTCGATTTATTTATTTGTTTTACATTGCGTATCACAGATGGCTTGTTTAGGACTGACTGCAATGTTCCCCAAGTTTGCATAGGTCATGATATCCACAGCAACGATACTATACGAAAACACCCGATTTGTTTTTCGGAATATTACATTTTTTGACGACTGTTTCTATCTGTAAAAAAAAAAATGTGACACATGTGAAACAGTTCTATCGGGGTCTCCGAAACACAAATTTGTGGCCATATGTCCAGGCAGTCGCCATGTAGAAGAGATGATTTATGAATGCCAACTTCTTTATTACGAGGGCATGGGTGGCCCAGTCGTCCGAGGCGCCGCGATTCGCTGTGCAGAGTTGCGTCCCTTGGGCACGCCAGAAACCTATGATTGTGGGTTCGAATCCTGGTTCTCCCCGATTATGTTTCTAGGTTTGTCAGCACCATACCCGTGCTCGTGGGTTTCACCGAAGTGGTAAACGTCTGAGACCTGCATCACTTCAGACTTTCCTCCCACATCAAGCTGACACGCCGTGATATAACTGGAATACTGTTAAAAGCGGCGTTAAACCCAACTCACTCACTCTTTATTACGAGTAACACAACGTTTCGCGGTATATGCTTACTCCTTCATCAGGTAAGCATATACAGTCGTGCCTCGTTTATACGGACTTCAGACATCCGGAAATCTCGGTTCCCGGACGATTTTCATTCAAAACGAAATATTTACTATCTAAATGTACTCTGAAAAGTTGTGTTCGTCGTGATAAAGAAGTTGACATCCATACATTTTCTCTGCTATGTGTATCCCTTGTAAATGCCATTCAAAGACCTGAGTCGTCATAGAGCTGGTATATTGCTAGAATAGAGTTGAAGAAAGAACGTTCTGGAAGTCTTGAGAAACTCTTTTCCATGTTTCAGGGGAAGTTGGCGACTGGAAGAATCATTTCACCGTGGCCCAGAACGAGATATTTGACAGAACATACAAAGAGAAAATGGCTGGTTGTGACATCAAGTTCAGATACACTGTGTAGTGCGCACTGAAGGAAAGAGAAACAATAGCTAACAGATGCACAAACTACACGAGAACAGGAATTCCTACAGGTTATCGAATAAAACTGAATTTATTACGCCAGAGAATATTTGTAATGTTTACCTATTGAACACTTTTCTACAATTCTTTTTTATTTGGCTCGTATTCAGAATTCGTCATTTGATCGAATTATAAGATCTAAAAATTATTTAGCTGGTACTCTTGAACATACAAAGGGCATTCTTTGGAATTTGTGTATAGTGTGTGTTTGCGTGCAAGCACACGTGTGATTTGATCGAATTAAAAGGCCCATGCATAAGTTGGGCAAGTATTCTTGAACATACAAAGAGCATGTTTTAAAGCAAAGTATGTCACCGAGTGAGTATGTTTTTAAGCAGTTTTTAGCAATATTTTGTTATTATCACCGAGGGGGAAATGAAGACTGAACTTCACACTCTTAGCATTGTTGGGGATCGAACCCAGGTTTCTGGCGTGACAAGTGAACGCTTTAACCACCAGGCTAAGGAAGTAGATACATATTGTTAAGCAGATAATAAGCTGTTCCTAAATGGAATCATTCAAACCCACAGCAACAACTCCAACAGAATACACAACATCTTGAATGCCATGGAAAGATACTACCGTATTTCCTCTATTAGACGCCGGGCCTATAATAGAAGCCGGGTCAATTATTCAGTGGAAAAGATAGAAGCCGGGCCTCTCATAGACGCCGGGTCGATCAATTGATACAATTAATGATCCCTGTGTATGGGGGGATGGTGGGATGGTGGGTTTTAATAGACGCCGGGCCTCTAATTGACGCCGGGTCAAAGGCTTGTCCGAAATAAATAGAAGCCGTAGAGAAAAAACGGTACCGATAATATTTGATGCTCCCAAGATGGCTGAACATTAACCACGCGACCTTGTTACTCACTAACTCTACATCTGTAGAAGTAACCTACAGTGTATTCACGTCAGTTCGATGTCGACTGATAGGGTGTTCCTCTTGATGATTCAGGATAGTTCCCCACAACTCGTTAATGCTTGTCGCCAGAGTCTAAGATCAGGATCGGTTGGTCGTGTATGCGGGTGGCTTAGCTGACTGTGTATTGACTATTAATTCCCTTGACATTAGTCGTTGTTCATGCTATCAATCATTGGTTTGTCTGGTGCAGGTTCGAATATATTGTCATCGAATATTGAGTGTGGCATTAAACATCATTAACGCACTCACATAGGATGGAAGTGGTATAAATGTATTCATTCCATCAGTCCAAGAAACATTGTTCAAGGTGCTTATATCACTGCGTTTTACACTAGATACACCCGTAAAGATCCGGGATAGAACAGGTCCTCAGCAACCCATGCTTGTCGTAACAGGCGACTATGCTTGTCGGAAGTGGCGACTAACGGGATCGGGTGGTTAGGCTCGCTGACTTGGTTGATGCATGTCATCGTATCCCAATTGCGTGGATCGATGCTCATGATGTCAATCCCTGGATTGTCTGGTCCAGACTCGAATAATTACAGACCGCCGTGATATAGCTGTAATATTGCTGAGTGCGGTGTAAAACAACAAACAAACACATATTACACAAGAAACGTATCTTATCTCTGATTATTATTGTTGCTGACGGGTGCTCCGATGTTTTTACCTCGATTGAACCGTTGTGTCGGAGTTCGTCATGTCTTGTGCCTTGTATGAAAGATCCGTGATTGCTTGTTTAAAATGTCATGTTGACAAGAGACCCGTGAAGATTCCGGGGTAGAATAGGTCTTCAGCAACCCATACTTGCCGTAAAAGGCGACCATGCTTGTCGTAAAAGGCGACTAACGGGATCGAGTGGTGCATGTCATCGATCCCAATTGCGTGGATCGATGCTCATGATATTAATCACTGGATTGTCTGGTCCAGACTCGAATATTTACAGACCGCCGTCATATAGCTGGAATTTTGCTGAGTGCGGCGTTAAACAACAAACCAACCAACCAACTATGTTGACAAGAATCTTGGTGTTGATAGATAGTTGCGGACCAATCTGTTTCATTTAATGATGCCATTGTCAATAAAATCAAATCAAAACCTAACTTGTGTTAATGTTAATTTCTACAACAGAATATGTATGCGCACATCGCTAAGAGTGAGTGAATATGTTTTTACGCCGCTTTTAGCAATAATCCAGCAATATCACGGCGGGGGACACTAGAAATGAACTTCACACTTTGTATTCATCACGGGAATCGAACCCCCGACTTCGGCGTGACGAGTGAACGCTTTAAAAACTTGGCTACCCCAACACATCGCACACCGTCTGAAGAAAACATAGGACACACAAATACTTACGCACGCACGCGCACACGCGCACGAACCTAGACGGAACAGTTGAAACATGCTTATCCTATTGGGTGTATCCTTGTAAGAAATCGCAATATTCCACAGTCCGATTTGGAATATAAGAATATCAAACATGCCACAAGACGAATGTATCCAGATCATAAAGTAAACAATATGTTTTGAAGGAAGAAATATTACATATTAAACTGTTAATATTATTGCATTAAATAGTTAAACTAACAGTTAGCGCCCATCAATTTGTTTACCGACGAAAGTTACCAGTAAAAGTCAGTATCAGGCCACATCACAATGAAGAGGGACCCGTGAACATCCGGGGTAGAATAGGTCTTCAGCAACCCATGCTTGCCGTAAAAGGCGACCATGCTTGTCGTAAGAGGCGACTAACGGGATTGGGTGGTCAGGCTCGCTGACTTGGTTGATGCATGTCATCGTATCCCAATTGCGTGGATCGATACTCATGATGTCAATCACTGGATTGTCTCGTCCAGACTCGATAATTTACAGACCGCCGTCAAATAGCTGAAATATTGCTGAGTGCGGCGTTAAACAACCAACAAACAAAAACAAAATATTAGACAATGACCAACCGTGGCATGCGCTGAGGAACGCCTTCTCACCGCAAATGTGTTTCTGCGCATTTCATCCATCGGTCCTCATGTAAAATGAACTTGCCAGCCTCGTTTGCATACCAATACACCGACTATTTAATTCCACATGTACTTCTCCAGAAGGCCACACACCATGGAGAAAACAGGAAACTGAGCTTCCTGGAAATTGACTGAAGCATACGGTATGTGGCCATCCAAATTAATAATACAATACAGGGCCCATTCGTCTGAAGCAGCTCTCACACTTTGCCGAGGTGGTTGCCGAGCTCTCCCGAGCCTAGCTCAGTTTAACCGGGTTAGGACTCGGGAAGAGACTACATATAAACGAGTGCGCATAGGAGTCCCATTAGGAGTCTATTAAGAGTTGCAAACGAGCACAACGATCGCGATACGAGCTGTACGAGTTTGGTACGAGGTGGCTACGAACTGCTAAATAATTCGGCGGGAATCACACTCATATAGCTCGTATTAGACTCAAATCGGCAATAAATTTTGCAGACGAGCCTGATACGAGTTCTGTACGAGCACCACGAGGTCGCCACGAGGGTACTACGAGTTTGTTACGAGTTTGTTACGAGTTTCTTAGGAGTTGGCTGGCGGCCCGACTGTTTTGAGCAGTTCCAAAACTCTCGAAGATCAGTACGAGGTATCCCGAGTTACCCCGAGTTTAGTACGACCTCGCTTCGAGCTCCATACGAGTACCCCCGAGTCAGCTCGGGTCCACACTCGGGACGCCATTCGTCACCACTCGCCCCTTTCCGTAACCTGCAAGAAGACTCGCCCCCCTCTCGATGAAAGTTATGTGCGAAAATACGACAAACCAATCAGAATGCGCGTATGATTTCGAGTTCTTTGTCAAATAATCCCTCAGAAATATTTTTTTGATTTTACATGTCTTGCATCTAAAAATATACCCAAGACACAGTTAAATGTGTTCAATCATACTGTATAATTCCGCACGTCCCGATGTCCTTTAAATTGCATCAGAAATATATATAACATATGGGGAAATATATGTGAACCATTACGCAACGAGTTGACAATTGTTTTAGGTATGCCCGTTTGCGCTAAGACGGAACCTAGTCGCAAAAATTGCCATGAGAGGTGCACGAGTCGCTATTCGGCTTGTCCCGGAATAACACGAGTTGGTCACGAATATCGGGACGCAACTCGGCAAAATGTGAGAGCCCCCAAATGCTCCACATTTCGATTTGCAGAGTTGCGTTCTTTAGGCGTTTGGAGAGTTGCCTCCCAATTGCGTGGATCAATATATCATGATATCAATAATTTAAGAAATGTTTTTTCGGCAAAATTTTGGCATTCTCATTCTGGCTTAACTGTTTCTTCATGCATATGAATCGCAATCTCTGCTCGGCTTGGCAAAATCAAAACAAAGGCATTTGTTTGTTGTTTAACACCGCACTCAGCAATATTCCAGTTATATGACGACTGTCTGTAATATCTGGACCAGACAATCCAGTCGGGGTACGATGACACGCCATCAACCCGTTCCCCGAGTCTGACCACCCGATCCATGGACAGGACTCCGAGTGGTGTGGTGACGAATGGGAATTCGTATGGTCGCCTTTCATTTTAATCCTCTTCCTACAGCTGTGAAATAACGAATAATTGAAGCAAACGTAAAAGGAAAGTGTAGACTTCTGCTCAACTGTCATCACATTGCCTGTTTTGAGGGGATGTGACACAAAGTTTGAAAACAAACAGAAATCTGCAAAATATATATTTTATTTCTCTCCAATATTCAAACGAAGTCAACATGACCTGTGGAGATATAGCAACAAATATAGACCAAAAGTACAGTCCATTATAAACATAGGGTAGTCAGGTGGGGTAGTTCTATGTGCACAACTCAATCTGTGCTGAATGGAAATTTGAGAGACATTTGAGAAAAAAAACACCAAAACAAACATGGTTATTAAGTATTTGTGCTTTCCCACTGTAGTTTCAGTGAATCTTTGTATAAGAGCATGTATAATAACAAGGTTATAAATACTTACCAATAACTCTGGTTGCCATAGTTACCTCATGACTAGTTGTGACCAATTTTTGAAAAATGCAAACAGATCTGAGGGTACATGAACATTGGTGGTCCTTAAAAGTATTTTTTTCTGGATTTCTGGCTTTAAAAACTTGATGACTAAGCCCAATTTCTACATTTGTCTTGTACACTAACTGCAATATGGAGAAAAATGTGTTGCCACATAAATGCAGTTCTCAAGAAGGGAGCTTGAAATGTTGCCCACCTTGGGTGCAGATATCCAGAAATAATACCAGGGTCCATGTGCACAATGTGGTCTTAGAGCTAAGACCATTATAGGTCCATGTTAATGTGTGGGAGATACAACAGTCTCTAAGGTCTCTTTGCTGAATTTGGTAGTGGGGTGGGGTGATGGTGGGGTGGCGGTGGGTGTGCGGCTTTTGGGGGGTGGGGTGTGTGTTTGTTCTTGTTGTTGTTGATGTTTTGGAGTAAAATGGCACAAAAAAAGGATCAAATGGTATTATACCTCCATGTCAGAATGATAAAATCTGATTGGTCCACATGATCTTGATAAAAAACTTTTTTCACCCTTAAAGTGCTTACAATCACTAACATAGCACTAATATGCTTACATTGAGTAACACAACTGTAAGGGGTTAAATGCTGGTATATGTTATTCAAACATCTTTACAAAGAGATATTGTATCAGAGCCAAATATCCGATTTTAATATTGTATTCAAAAAGGCATCTTATTTCAGCACTTGGCTTTTAGTTATATACACAGTATACATAACATCACTTGCAAGTAGCACTCTTTACGGGATCTGGTGGTCAGACTCGCTGACTTGGTTGAAGCATGTCATCGATCACAATTGCATTGATCGATGCTCATGATATTAATCACTGGAGATACAGACCTCCGTTATGTAGCTGGAATATTGCTTAGTGCGGTGCTAAACAACCAACCAACCAACCAACTTGCCCTGGGAGAATTTAGATAGTAATTAAATAATTTTCCTGCAAACAATATACCTCACATTTCATAAATCATTGTCATAACATTTGAACAATATTACTGTCACGACAAATCATTACCTTATTATTGCCATTTTTTTCAGTTTAAAGTTCTACTTTTGCCAAAAGGTTAACAAATGTTTTTACACCAAAAGAAAATACAAATGCTCATGTTCCTAATGTGTAAAAACCATCCGTAGGAGAAGCTTAACTTTTGTTGCCCTAAAACTGTTTTCAAGAAGTATTATTTTTACAAAAAGTATATAATACACCGTATTAGGGTAGAGAATAATTAATAAATACATACAAAAAGTGCAAAAATTATACAGCATGGTGCTAAACTTATGGAAATCTTGAAACAATCAGTGCAATGCAAAACAAAAGATTAAACATTGAAACTTAACATCAATTTGTAATTGAAAAATAATCCAATAATTTTCCTGGATTAGAATATATAATAAAACAGTGATATCTCGAACATCATCTTCGGAGTGTAGTTAAGGAACTCCCTTTTGTTGTGTGACTACATTTAAGATCTGGGTGATTTGTGTTTTACACCAGGTATTTCAGCAGTATTTCAGTTACCGTATTTGATGTAATAAGCGCCCAGGGCGCTCTCAAAATTAGAAATAGGGGGCTCTTATCAGAATATCATTTTGGTGAAAAAAAACAGAGTTGAAAAATTGTAAATTTTGTGGTTAATGCTGACAGCATGGGGTGCTAATTGAGATTGTTCACTAGCCAATATATTAGCAAATATCGCAGTGGGCGCTTATTAGAGCAGGGTGCTTATTGTGTCAAATACAAAAGATAAAGTTAAAAGATAAATTTCCTGGTTTATGCTGACAGCCTGAAATGTTTATATACGACAGATATATTTTTCCAGGATTTAATTGCCCATAATTAAGGGTGCATATAACACGAGTGTGAATAATATGCGAATAAATAAGTCTTGTACATTGATAAATTGGAAGGGGTGCTAATTGGGATTGTTCACAAGCCAATATATTAGCAAATACCGCTGTGGGCGCTTATTCCGTCGAATACGGTATATCACGGTGGGTTGGCTTACAGTATGTGAAGTGGAAGGTAAACGTACAGTCATGCAGGGTGATTACATCTACCCGTCAGTACAGCCCACCAGCACAGGCATGGCCCTGACCTAGAACTGTAGGTAGTGCTGGGGCTGTACACTGTGTAACCACTGTAGGTCACTGTAGGTCACTTATTTCTGTCTTTATCAAGTGACTTTCATCACGATAAAGGAAGCATGATGTCACTGATCTCACAACCTTTGATACATATATTCAGATGTTTATCTTTAGCTCAGTCTCACTGAATATAGGTTGCCATTGTTACTGTATTTGATGTAATAAGCACCCTGCTCTAATAAGCACCCACTGCGATATTTGCTAATATATTGGCTAGTGAACAATCCCAATTAGCACCCCATGCTGTCAGCATTAACCACAAAATTTACAATTTTTCAACTCTGTTTTTTCTCACCAAAATTCTATTCTTATAAAAGCCCCCTATTTCTAATTTTGAGAGCGCCCTGGGTGCTTATTACGCCGAATACGGTACCTATAAATTCAGAAACTCTGTATCAACATAATAAACACAGCCATTTGTCAATGTGCCTGTTTTAATAAAATATAGAGAATGTAAATAGAAACTTAAAAAATAAATAAATTCAGTTAGCTTTAAATCTCAATAGATAAATATCAAACAGCTATGACAATATACAGAATACAAAGATAATTTCCTGTATATATCATTAGAATTATTATGGTAGCAAAATCAGCACACAATTTACAATGGTACTTGTTCTAACCAGGGTGTCCTGATTAACAGGGTTTAACTGTTTCACAGCAAGACTTCATAAAGCGATACGTCATTTACATAGGCTGTTTGAGTTTATAAAAAGAATTAAATTAAAATGTTAAATGTCAGAGTGTTTCACAATTAGGTTTTGTCTACGGGTCTTGTCCACAATATAAAGCAATGTTTGCAAGAAGTATTTACAACCGGACAGCTCCTGAAACTATTTTAGGAGTGGCAACCTAAACCCAATTCTCCATAAATTTCACTGTAAATATTTGTGAGAGGATAAATATGAAAATGTCAAGTCAGACAAGTCCAAACATCGGCCACACTAAATTTCTTGCTAAGTTATAACTTGTTTGTTTTTCATTCATTACTGGCAATTTAATTTTAGAGTTGACTTTAAAAAAAAAATGTTTTTCAAAACCCCACACTGAATTTAAGACCAAACATGTTCAAACCTGAGAAAAAAAAATAGCCCATTATATCTCGAAAAGGTTTGTCGTTTCCATGGTGTTGCTAATAATTTTAAACACTTGAACAGTGAGACTGAAAATCCTACAAAGTATATATAAAAATAAATAAAATTCAAATGTCAAATTGTGTTCTTGTAGTTGTACACAGTGAAAACCTTGTTACTTCAGAAACACATATCACTGCTAACTATGTCTGCTCAGAGATATCATTCAACAATACAATCACACTAATGATTCGTTCATCCAGGAATTTCATAATCATCCCAATGACACAGCAATGACACCCTGCAGATTTGTTTTCACCGTTTTTGCTGTAGTTCCATCAGTAGTGGTCACGGCAACAGTGTCATGCCCCCATATAACACAGGTTATAACGCTGGTTAAAACCCGCCTCTGTGGCTGAACAAACATGATCTATCCATTAACAATAACACATAATTATACTTCATGCAATGCTTGTGAAATACTGATAATTATATACTTAATTATAAGTTCTTATACCCTTTTAATATTATGGATACTTGGCTTTAATATTTTTGTCCAAATCATAATCTGTGGTTTAAATAGAATATAGGATGATATAATGTATCATTAAAATCAAACATAATATTAATCTTATTCCACTTTTGTGGAAAGATTGGCTTGGGAATTCCTACATTTATAATAAATAACAACTTGTGAGCACCTCTGATATAATGTATCATTAAAATCAAACATAATTTTTTCATTGGACTGGGAAGGAACAAAGAATAATATGATAATATTAATCTTATTCCACTTTTGTGGAAAGATTGGCTTGGGAATTTCTACAGTTATAATAAATAACAACATGTGAGCCCCTCTGATATGTAGACATCATTGGGAAACACAAAGGCAATAATTGCCACATGGCGTTACAAACACCTTTTGGGGGCGGTCGGGTAGCCTTGTGGTTAAAGCGTTTGCTCGTCGTTGAAGACCAGGGTTCGATTCGACATGGGTACATTGTGTAAAGCCCATTTCTGGTGTCCCCCGCCGTGATATTGCTGGAATATTGCTAAAAGCGGCGTAAAACCATACTCACTCACTCACAAACACCTTTTACTCTGAGATCCGAAATGCAGGTAAGATCACATATGATCAGTCTTCCTTAAAGAGGTATCATATCACATATCACATGTAGGCAATGCACCAAATTGCCAATCTCATTAAAAACAGATCTAAGTTTATGCTGCCGCTAAACAAAGATCTGAGGACCTCTCATTACGGGTCACGTCAGAACGACCTTTCGTGAATTTTGACCGTCCATTGAAACGATTTACAAGAAGTTGACATCAACCAATTAGAAAGCAGCTTTCTCGAGCTTTAAGGCACTAGTTTCAACCTGGCGACTACCATTTCAGACTACGCTTGAAAAATATGTTGCCTCAGTTCTCAATTAAAATTTTGAAAACTGAACAAAAGAACATTCCGTAATGTCTAAAAAATGGTTGCGATTGTATGGCAGTGCTTTCCACGTACTGTGCAATGCCTCCTCTGTTCAAATGATTATCCAACTGAGGCGAGAGATAGACGATAATTATGATGGAATCAGTCGTACGGGCCGTAACTGTTGTTCGGAATACCCCGTGTTAACATTTTCGAGGTTGCATGATTAGAAAACACATTCCGACTGTCACTTTCATGATCTGGTAAGCGACGCTTTGATTGGTTGGATGAAAGGTCGTTCTGATGTGACCTGTAATGGGATGTCCTCAGATCTTTGTTTAGCGGCAGCGGGAACTTAGATCTGATTTTAATGAAGTCATTTCTGTAACCTCCTAATGCTGCCAAACACATAAATGCACATCCTTTTTGTTTATGAATAAATCACAAATCATACAGGATCATATGATCCCAATTATGACAATCACTTCTTTTTTCTCCAAGCGCGTGCTCTTGCACAATCACTTTTGTCTCGGGAACTATCAATGTTGGCTCTCTTGCTTCTATGAGAGTGGTCTCCCTTGGTTGAAGGTAAATGCCTTTTACGTCCTCTTGAATGTTCTTTACTTTTAATAATATCTACAGTTTCTTCATCTGGGTTTTCTCGAATTACAGCCTCATCCCCTTTGCCTTCTTGTTTTGTCAGTACAAAGTTGTCTTTCCTTGATTTCGGATTATTATGAGATTTATCTGCCTTGGACATAACTTGAACACACTTGTTTTTATTATTCTTAAGGCTGGGCTCACAACACTCAATATTTTCAGAACTGGATTTGAACTTTAGCAATCCAAAGGAGCTGGTTTTCTTCAAGATGTGATTAGAACAGAGACTTCCATCCTTCTCCAAAGGTTGGGTTCGGCTGCAGCTGGTGTATGATTCAATGGCTCTGTTATTGTCATCACACCTCAGGGTATCCATCTTAATTGTCTTCAGTCTGTCAGTACTCCTCTTTGTGAATGCCTTCCCATGTTTGGCTTCTGAAAATTCAGAAATACAAACTTGAGAAATGATTTGGCAACTTTGAACTCAAATTGACATTTAAGAATCTACTATAATAACATATTATATAGAAGAAGCAGTTATCAATAAACTGTGTCTACTTTGTCATCTGTCAAATTCTAAAAAATGCCTATCCCATAATTAAAGAATAAATTTTTGTTCGTTTGTTGTTTAACGCCACACTCAGCAATATTACAGCTTTCTTCTGGCGGTCTGTAAATAATCGAGTCTGGACCAGACAATCCAGTGATTGACAACATAAGCATCGATCCACGCAATTGGGATACGATGACATGCACCAACCGAGTCAGCAAGCCTGACCACCCGATCCCGTTAGTCACCTCTTACGACAAGCATAGTCGCCTTTTACAGCAAGCATGGGTTGCTGAAGACCTGTTCTACCCCGAATCTTCACAGGCCTAAAGAATAATTAACATAAGACATCAGCATTAAGCATACAGGGTTTTACACGACACAGAAATGTGCATCCATTACGCACAAAAGTAAAGAATGAACACAGAGAAAATATGTTGTGTCCCAAGGGACACCAAATAGTATTCACTGTTCAAAATTCTTGACAAGAAATATAAATGTCCGGTAAGTAAGATACTTATCAAATCGTAAAGTACAGAAGCCTACATAATTTCATTATTTTACAGTACGCTCATATTTCCTAAGGACCCTTGAGATTAATTGAGGGTCCACTGGGCCTCCAGTTCTGTAAGTCAAGGTAAAACCCTGGTATTGCGAGTGAGTGAGTGAGTTTGGTTTTACGCCGCTTTTAGCAATACTCCAGCAATATCATGGCGGGGGACATCAGAAATGGGCTTCACACATTATATCCATGTCAGGAATCGAACCCGGATCTTTGGCGTGATGAGCGAACGCTTTAACCACTAGGCTACCCCACCCTCTGGTATTGTGTGTATCTGTGTTGACGAAAGGGATCAAAATAACTCATTTTAATTTTATCATGAATCAGCGAATTGTGGCATAATTAGAAAACAAGGTGTTGCTCCTAAAAGAAATAAATACAAATATATTCAAACAAAAGACAGATATGTTTTACCTTTTGTTTTAAGATAGACATCAAATATTGCCACCAAGATTTCCATCAACTTCAGGAAAGCATTGCTTGGCAACCTGCTTGGCATCAATCGGAGTCGTTTGATGAGTTGCGAGCTGAAGTAGGAGTCTGCGTCGTAGTGCTCGAGGAGCTTGACGCGGTGGATGTCGCGGGCGGAGCGGAGGTGGAACCGAGACGGTCCTGGGATATTGAGATGCTGGAGCTTCACAGCTCGTCGGATGAGGGGATCCATCTGGCCGCTGTTGTCGATCTTAGAGAAGAACTTCCGTACACGCTTGTGCATCTTGGAGCAGGTGAATTGTTCTGTAATCAGTGAAAAGATGAATATTATTTGACATTATTTTTTATTCATCAAATCATGTATTTTACAGAATAGTATAGTTAAAAAAATAAATACTGTAAATCTTGAATTTAACGCGAGTTGAAATAAATGCGAAAAATGCGAGTGGTCTCTGCTCGCATTAATTAATGCATTTATGTCTCCAAATGTCTATCAACATATAAGACGGCCTCACTGCACACTTTGGATAGCAGAAATACCAACCAGGTTATTGAGCAGCAGTTGTAACTGGTATATCACTACGTCATTTAAAGATAGGAATCACACAATCATGAGTTATCACTGCTGGGGTCAAGAGTTCTACCCACTTGTTGTGTGAAGCTTGTTGACACCTACTCCGCATACCAATCAGTGAACTGTTGTTGGTTCAATTAATTTATTGTCTTTGAACCTCCTTAATGCCAGTCAACAGAGTAAACATTAACTGTGTGTTGTTTTTAGGAAAACACTGTTTATTGTTTTTTAAAGAAGTGCTCTACTCAGTGCTAAAAAGCGGAGTTTGATTGGATTAAAGTAAGGTTGGAGTGAGTGAGTGAGTATGGGGGACACCAGAAATGGGCTTCACACATTGTACCCATGTCGGGAATCAAACCCGGGTCTTCTGCGTGACAAGCGAACGCTTTAACCACTAGGCTACCCGACCGCCCCTAAGTAAGGTTGGATTAAGGTAAGGATATGCATCATTTCACTGGGGATGGGGTAGGGGAGTCGTAATTTCGGCTAGGAGTCAGCAGTCATATTAATTTAACGATGCAGATTTACAGTAAACAGTCTGGACTATCTGACAAAACAGATTCCACTGGGAATAAAAGGCAAAATAGTGGTGAAAATAATATGAATGGATCACTGAAAATCAGTGATGAAACGTGTTCACGAAAAGGCTAAGCATGTCCTGCCCTAATGTTGACATTTGTGACATGATCATACAGTGAGTGAGTGAGTATGGTTTTACGCCGCTTTTAGCAATATTCCAGCAATATCACGGCGGGGGACACCAGAAATGGGCTTCACACATTGTACCCATGTCGGGAATTGAACCCGGATTTTCGGCGTGACGAGCGAAAGCTTTAACCACTAGGCTACCCGACCGACCCCATGATCATACAGCTCTAAATTATGCTTTGGCACAAACAAACTGGAAACAAAATGGGAAAATGAGTGAGTGAACATCAGAAATACAAACTTAATAAATCAATTTGGCAATACTCAAGTTAAAATTTGAGAAACCATTACAGTATTCGACGTAATAAGCGCCCAGGGTGCTCTCAAAATTAGAAATAGGGGGCTCTTGTTAGAATATTATTTTGGTGAAGAAAATACAGAGTTGAAAGATTGTCAATTTCGTGGTTTATGCTGACAGCCTGAAATGTTTACATAAGACAGATATATTTTTCCAGAATTTAATCACCCATAATTAAGGGTGCATAAACATATGAGTGCGTATTATACACGAATAAATAAGTCTTGTGTACATTGATCAATCGGAAGGGGTGCTGATTGGAATTGTTCAGTAGCCAATATATTAGCAAATATCGCCATGGGCGCTTATCAGAGCAGGGGGCTTATTATGTCGAATACAGTAACATTACATTGATGTCTGGATATCAGCAATAGTGAGTGAGTGAGTGAGTATGGTTTAACACCACTTGTTGCAATATTCCAGCAATAACACAGCATGGGACACCAGAAATGGGCTTCTCAGATTGTACACATAGGGATTCAAACCCAGGCCTTCGGTGTGACGGGCAAACGCTTTCACCACTAGGCTACCCCACAGCCCCTCATGGTAAGAAACATATGAACATACGTAATGAGCAATACGAATTATGGTTCACAAAATAATTCTTGGGAAACAGAACCTGAAATGAGTAGATGAATCTCAGCGAAAAGGGGATAGCTGTTCTATTATCCAGCACATGGTAAAGACATTCAGAGGCTGCAGATTGATAAGAAATATTGTTCTTGATGGCATACATAAATTCCCAGGGCACTCCTAAGTATATGGGACAGAATACTATGTTTCAAATAAGATGCCCAGAAACTATAGATCGGCACTAGCCAAGTTTAGATGCGGAGTGGCTCCTATACGATACGATGCGGTCGATACGAAGGTGTACCTGTCAATAATAGAAAATGTTTTCACTGTAATGACAGCGTAGAAGACGAGGTCCATGTTTTGTTTCACTGCGCATTTTATGATGATATCAGGGCAACTCTTTTTAATGAATGTATTGCTAAATCTTATAATTTTTTAGATATACCTGATATCGACAAACTTTGTTTTATTTTCAGTGACTCCAGTGTGCATGGTGTGTGTTTTATACTTGCCAAAGTCTGCTTTTTAATTCTTAATCGTAGAAAACATCTTTTATATGGATAACTTTTTACTATATCATCTTTATATCATTTATGTATAAATTCTGTGATAATTCGTCTCTCATATTTCTATTGAATGGTTCTGTACATTTTATCTATGTCAGGTTGTATAAAGCTGTTTTATGTATGTCCAGAAGTGAGACGTTAATAAACTATTGTCTGTCTGTCCTAAACATTGCACTTGAAACAAGTATATCCTTCCCTTTCTTCAAGGGATACTGGGGGGGGGGGGGGGGGGGGGGGGGGCGTCACGGGTGGCCCAGTTGTCTAAGACGCTGCGGTTCGCTGAACAGAGTTGCGTGCCCAAGGTCTATATTTTAGACAATATTCCCCGAGCCTCTGAATTTAGGCATGTAACTGTATCTACCCCCATGTATCAAAGAAGTACGTTTTCCCTTAAGTTTGTCATGTGGCCTAGGGGGATGGAAGCACATAGTTGAAATATCACATGATTTGACATAATTGAACTTGGTTCTTTTCTGGAATTGTAAATCTTCAAACAAATACATTCTCTGGAAATCACGAAAGAAATTCAGGAGCTTTTGATTCCAGTACAAAAGAGGAATGGCTATGAGTCATGACAATAGTTTTAGTTATGTCATGTAGATTTCTTTCTCAGTTCGTACAGTTATGCTAGTGTCTGGCATTATTCTATTGGTCGATTATACCATGTTCTTTCATGCGTCAGGGGCACGGGTGGCCCAATCGTCTAAATCTCCGCGATTCGCTGTGCAAAGTTGTGTCCCTTGGGCATGCCAGAAACCTATGATTGTGGGTTCGAATCCCGGTTCGCCCCGGTTATGTCTCTAGGTTTGTCAGCACCATACCCGTGGGTTTCCCGAAGTGGTAAACGTCTGAGACCTGCATCACTTGGGGCTTTCCTCCCACATTAAGCTGACACGCCGCGATATAACTGGAATACTGTTTAAAGCAGCGCTAAACCCAACTCACTCAAGGAATACTGAAGCAACCTACCCATGTTTCAATAGAATGTGGATACCTCAGAACAGTCCAGCCCTAGAGATGCTCACCAACTGATTCAGTATTGTACCGTAAAACATCACGTGCCTCACTGCCACTGATGGACCTGGTGAGAGTCCCACTCAGATTGCCATGGCAGCTGTCACAGACTGTATTGTGATCAACACAAAGCGCAACAATGATATCTGGCCACCACAGTGACCACCTGTGTTAAATGAGCTGTTGGTGTCATCAACAACCAACAGAGGCTAGCAGTATCTCCTCAATCAACCACTGATGATGGAGCTGCAGGTGAACCCCTCCAGCTTGTTGTCCAATGTGTTCCTATCATCACAGATCATTGACAATTAGACTTGTTTTATTATTTTATGTATGTTATAATCACACACTGATTTCTCACAGTCTTTCATGAATGTCACTGTTATCTCTGTATTTTGACACATGGGACAGCATTGTCTCGGCCACATCTTGTACTTTTGACATCGGCTAAAATAGTACTGTATTTTTTTTAGCATAGTGCGCACCCAAGTATAATGTGCACCCCCCTCTAACGGATTTAGTATTTTGGAATTTTTTTCTTCAAATATTATACTCAGAAAAAAATTACACCGTACCCCTTCAGCGAATTCCGGTAAACAAACGACGTTTCAAGGCGTCAATAACGGTAATCTGACCGTGGTTGCTGTTAATAATGGTGACTTGTGCGATCTTCCGATCCCTTCAGACATGATTTCGACGAAATTAGGTAAAACAATATTAAAAGGAATTTTGAATAAAATATTATTGTTTTATTTTTTTACCATGTTTACCACATTTGGAAATTCTGTTTTGTACAAATGAGAACCCTCAAAGAACACAAATATTCCTTTCGTATTCCCCTTTCATGTGGATGCCCTCTACAAACAACAATGTGTATACAATATCTACAGCAACATTAATGCCATCTTTATCCACATTTGGCCGTTGTCACTTAAAGGAAGAATTTATGGATGTCAACTTCTTTATCATGAGGAACACAACCTTGTATGTCCTTACTCCTTCATCAGGTGAATAAATGCTTACTTACTTACTTACTTACTTTGGAGATTTAACGTGCGCTTTCCGACTGATGCGTATTTCGCACACGGGCCCGGCCAGGCCATTTAATGTGTTTCCGAAAGGGGCGAAGGTGGTCTGTGCAACCCAAGAGGGGGGTTTTAGGGGTTGCTTATATAGAATTTGGGAATTTTGAGATTTGGAATAGATGCCGATGGGATTGGGGAGGAGAACTAAGGAAGCTGGGTATGGTGGATGTTTGTTTGTTTATGTGATTTTGATTTGGTAGGTTATTGTGTTTTTAGATGCGTTTTATTAGTTCCGTTTTTATTAAGAATACGCCTAAGGCCTTGAAGTTTTCTAGTTTATTTTGTGGGTTTAGTATTGCTTCTAGAGTTAGAGCCTTGTTTAGATTGAGGGTGGTTTGTAATGCGGTTCGATGTGTTAGGTAGTGTGTGCAGTGGATGAGTGCGTGTTCTGGGGTTTCTGGTTGTTTGCAGTGTGGGATAAATGCTATGAAGCACAGAACATATATATGTACATGAAAGAACAACAAAAGTAGTAAGATAAC